GTGTGGGGGGGCGGGGGGGCCGCCCCCCCCCCCCCCCGCCACTGCGGCTGGAGCGGTTGCAAAGGTGAAGGACACTGAGCAACATCCTGCTGCTGTTTTTCTCAAATGCCAGGCTGGCTTCCCACTGTGTACTTCTTTTCATGCTTTGGCGCTGCTTTTCTCATTTCCTAATTCGGAGCTGGTGTGGGCAGCGGCTGCAAGGGGGTCCAAGGTGCGCTCTAAAGGAAAACAGTGTCCAGCAGATATAGGCAGGGCGTAGAAAAGTATCTGCTTTCATCTCTTGTCCTGGCAGAGCCATGTGCATCCCGCTGGCAGCAGAGCCTTTGTCGGATGGTTTGCAGCTGTGGCTTTGCCACCTGTGCTGGAGAGCCAAATGGGGTGGCAAGTCTCCTCCTCTTCCCCGGCTTCCATTGCATGTGAAAGATGGTCTTCAGGAGCACTCTTGGCCTCAGTGAAGTAGATTTTTGGGGTTCTCCAAGTTTCTCTTGGAGCACAGGCTTTCTCTGTTTTGGCTGCTGGCCCGTGCTGCCACCTGCGAGGTGCAGGGCCTCCCTCGCTCCTCGCTCCTCTCCGGCTACAGCTTGCAAAGGAGTCGGGCAGGTGTAGTTACGCCAGCTGTGAGGAGGAGCACTGGGTTTGTTGTTTTTCTTTTTTGCCTAGGCTGTTCAGTACAGCCTGTACTCGAAGAGCAGAAAGTGCAAAGCCTGCCTGGACTGGCCAAATTTGTCCACGCAGCACCGTGGTGGGCAAAAGCATCCTCTCTGTCCCTGAGCAGTTCAGCGGGGTTAGTCTCATCCCGCCTGTGCCCAGGACAATAAACCTTCCTGTTAAAGAACCACTGCTGCAAGTGTAGTGTGAAGTATAAGCCTAACACCCAGTGCTGAAGGGAAATCCCTCAGAAAGGCTGATTTATGAAGAAAAAATTTGCCTTTTTTCGTAAGTCTTGCTTTTACTAAGCTGGAACAGAGATGACCCCTACTTATGCTGGAGGAAGGGCAGGAAACTAAGCAAGCTTGTTGGAGAGAACGTGCTCAGAGCTAATGGTGGAGCACGTGGAGCAACATAAAACATTTCATGCTCTCTCCTGACATTCTTGTTTTGATGAGCTCCCTTTTTTTCCACAAAACTGCTTTCAAGCAGTTGTATTTTGAAGCAGCCCCATGTGATGTTTGAATCCTGTGGAATTTGAGGTGGGTGAGCGATGAAGACGGTGGTGGCTCTTCAGCTCGCTCACTCTAACCTCTGGAACAAGCTGCGCTGCTCTAGCTCAAGATGCCTGCGATGGAGTTGGTGTGCTGGGACAGGCTGTGCAAGGCTGCTCGCACAGATACATCTCTTTCCTTTGCTCCCTGCCAGCTCTTATCTGCAGAGCTCGAGCTATTGATCCTTCCTGTCATGTGTGTGGATGGAGACTGTCACCTCTCCTGGGGCAGCTGGAGAAGGAGAGTTGTCGCTGGCCTTCAAAGAGGCCAGAACTGTGCTCTCCTTTTATCTTCCTGTCAAGCTCACCAACCTTAATACATTGCAAAAGATAATGTGTTTGCTGTCCTCCTGCACAGATCATGTTTTGCACTTTGAACACTCATAAAGTTGATATGGACAAGCTCTTAGATGCACAAATTGGCCTTGAAGATTTCATATTTGCCCACGTAAAAGGACAACGAAAAGAAATAGAAATTCTTAAAACCGATGATGTGCTTGGGCTTACCATTACAGACAATGGAACCGGCTGTGCGTTTATAAAGGTAAATTTGATTACCAGTGAAATGCTTTGTTCTGTAGAAGCTTCTGTTACTATAACAGTTTAACTATTGTTTTAATGATCCTTTAGAATTGTAAAATCTTTTATCATCATATATATGGTAAGTAAAAAATAAAGTTGCTTTTCTTTACATATATCATTCCAAATTAGTTCTGCTGTTTCTGTACCGCATGTCATTCAAAACGAGTTCATTTGTTCATTGCTTCTGTAATGTGTATCAGCTTTACAATGTGACCGCTGTATTTTCTGACCTACCCTGAGGTGGTAGGTGTTAGATACTGCTTGCATCTGCCCCCTCCTTTTTTTTTTTAAGTGATTTTCTCATGTCTTTGATTAGGTGCTTATAGAACATCTGTCACTCATGATAACGAGATCCTATTCTTTCAGTATTTATGACAGTTTACAGGGCAGAAGCCTTTGTGCTGTATAAGAATACGTGCAAGTACAGTGCTTTTTCAGCTTTCCGATATTGTTGCCTTAGGTAGGATGAATTAAAAGGTGTTAAGGATAAGGATTAACGCAATTTACCACAATTAACTTGAGTGGCAAGTATGGGCAGTTGCATGTACAATATAGTAATCATAATTGCTTTCCTCCTCCTCTTCTGTATGACCTCCAGATGTTTCGAGACAAGTAGAGGGCTGAGGAAATGATGCTACCCTCCTTGCTAGACTGAGTATTAGGAACCTTAATCACATTTTCTGCCTTTTTTAGATGCTTTGCTCTAAATTAATCCAATTATCCATTATTAGTGACGCACTGGCAATTGTCTTCAATTACTGCTGTCCCCATCACTGTTCTTACTGCTATTGTAAACAGAGCTTCTGGTATGGAGAGGTTGTATTCTCTATCCATTCCTTAGCTAGCATGGATATAAAACAAGACGTGGTTTCAAAATAGGTTTGCTTGTCTTTGTTGTGGAAAAATGTGATTGAGATCACGCTTGAGAAAGTCGAGATGCAGTGGAGGTTTCTGTAAGCGGTTTGGCAAAATCATAGCCTCACTTTTATGTTTATAGACACAGAACTCTGAATTTCTAGTGGTAGTATCTGTGCAGCCCATAACGTTCAGTCACGCTGCTGCTTATGTGCTATTTTAAAAGAAGGCATTGAAAGCAGTGCTTCAGCGATTTAAAGTTCACTTGTGCAGCACTGTACAGTGCATTACTCTCTCTGGGCTTGGTTGGTAATATGGGGAGAGAGAACAGCCATCACGTAGACTGCTGCATAACTGGAGCAGGCTGGAAAACCCTCACCACATTAGCAAGACAATCTGTAATTTCCAGTAAATTGTATAAAACTTGTCTGAACAAATATATCATTGTCCTTGTACTGGTCTAATAAGCAGTATAATGAATATGGTGCAGCCTTCGTGGGAAGGCATCAGTTTAAAGGAGTTTCTAGGAGCTTACTTTGCTGCTGTTGCATATTTAGCTAATGGATTTTTTAAAACAGCATAGAAAATACATATACAAAAGTAAAGCTGCATCTTTTTTATACTTGGTTGTCTAGGTAAATGGCTAAGCAGGGACTGTCTCTAAAGTTCGATAGAATTCTTTTTGTGTACATATATTTACTTTCCTTGAAAAATTGTTACTATGTTCCATTATTAATTAAGGATTAATATTCAGTTTACCTATCTGTGGGTTGTTGAAAGCTGTTATGGGCTGTAGTAATTGGTGTTAGGATCTAAGTGAAGAAGAAAAGCTAAATGAGAATGAATTCAGCGTTTAGTCTATGACCAAACATTAGTTGAAGTCTGATGGGCACGCTTTTGAATCCTGGCACCTGGTAAGAGAAGCGCATTTGGGACCTGGTTTCTGGCGTGTGTACGATGCCCCCCTCTTCATTGGTCATGAGGCTTCTTTTTGGTTTTAATCTAGGTTAAAGAAAAAAGTGCTAGAAAGGGTTAAACTCAGCCTGGAGCTAAAAATTGTTGCAGTGTACTATAGGATGCTGAGCACTATCACACTTCCCACTGACTCTCTCGAATGGAGGCACGTATGTGGGCTCAGATGTGCGCACATAAACTAGAAGCAGGTTTCTGAGATCGTTATGCAGCTAGGTTAGGTGCTATAGTAGTAGGTGGTAATATGTTTATCTCCCCTGTTTCAGTGTTATCTCACTCAAAGTTAGTCTGAACAACATCAGCCTTAATTGAAAATTACATTATTCAGGAAGATATTAGAATGAAATTCATATCTGTACAAAATATAAGAGATTCTACTATGTTATAGCTTTTCTATTAAATAGCTATAAGATAATGGCTTACATGACTTGGACACATGATAAACAAATATGACAGTGTATAACAACAATAAACAGAATAACTGAAATTTTAAGTGTCCTTTGACTTGATATATCATAGTGATCTTTTGAAGACTGTTTTTTTTCTCACTTTTTAAATTCCACTTCACAAAAACTATAAAAACTAACTCCTGTTACATTTTATGACCTTTAGACTGTTTCTATTTGTATTCCATGAGATGGCATTTAGAATAATTTCTTACTCTTTATTGTTATTTCAGAGGAAATACTTTAATATGCAGCTGTATAGCCTGATGTGGAAAATGGTAGAAGTTTCATCACTATAGATGGGTCTTATTAAGATTAGCCCTTTATAGTATGTAATTTTTTACTATATCACACACTTTTTTTTTTATGTCCCTGGACCATACTTGAGAAGAATTCTGTTCCTATGCTTGTCAAGCTATTAAATCAAAATAAACCCCCCAAACTCAATTAAGCATTCACATTACTGACATGTTTGGGTTCAGTTTTAAAGCACACAAAATATCAGCTTATTCAGAAGCATTAATTTCTAAAGTATGATTCCATTCTTTTTTTTTTCCTGTTGATTTTATATTCAGTGCTTATTAAAATACTTTGAAAACTAATGCTTTCCAAAATATGTTTTATGAAAATCTTATAGACAAAACGCACTGCTGGTATAATAAGCTCAATGCTATTGGTGGTGTTAACTGACATTCTTGAAACACTCTACCTTTTAAAGAAATCACCTCTTTACCTTTTAAAGAAATGTTTCTAATTATATATATTTTTTTAAACAATAGCGAATCAAAGAAGGTAGCCTTACAGACCAAACCAAAATGATCTGCGTGGGTGATCACATACAGGCTATAAATGGAAAAAACGTGTCAGATTGTCGGCATTATGAAGTTGCCAAAATGCTAAAAGATCTGGAGAAAGGTCAGATGTTTAAGCTGGAGTTGGTAGAGCCTATGAAAGCGTTTGGTGAGTGACCTGACTGTCCACCTTGTTCACTGCATATTGACGTCCCAACACTGAATTGCATTGTAAGTTTGTTTTCAGATTGCAGCCAGGTGTCCACCCAAGGTAAGAGAACTGCTGCAGTTTACAAATGAATTTTCTTCCATCTTGCTTTCTCCAGCAGTCATCCTGGTGTGGGCTGCCTCAGCCTGAGTCTCAGCTGCTCGATTCCTTTGCTGCCACATGATGATGCAAAATAAGTACAGGAATTGTTTCATAAACACAGTTTTAAAGCATGGATCACTTCACTAATGTGCTGATCTGTGAACCTCCTCTTCTCTTTTCCTCTGTTGATACACAATCCCTGTTCATGTGTGTGTCAGATTTTTCTATTTCTGTACCCTTTACTGGGAACTGCACTCTAATGCAGAAGGATGCTGCAGAAAATAGTCTGGGATTTGCTGGAGCACCTCCTTTGCTGCACGCCTGCCTGCTCTCCCCAACTTTTTGTGGCTCTCTAATCATTACAGCAGGTAGAATTGGAAGAAAGCAGTATGGCAAAGCTCTCTCTACCTATCACCTGCATGCTATAAGAAAGTGATACTTACATAGGAGGAATGCATACCTACTGCTAGTCCTTAGGTATATTAATTTTATCAATGTGGTAAACTTTTTTTTTTTTAAAAAAAAGGGTAGGTTTAGCTCAGGGAGTCAAAATAGATACTGAGCTTTAATTTTTGTTCTCTCAATTTTTTATAACCCCCCTGAACCACGTGGCATTTTTCTGTAATAAAAACTTCAAAATACTGCTAAATTAGAAGTGTGTATGAGTCCTTGTGCACAGCTGCACTAACAGCAAGTTCAAAATCACCATGTTCACCAGAGCAGCAGAAATTTGAAATGTTTATTTTTCAAATCTTTTCTGTCTGTTAGTAGCTTACAAGTGCTGTCATACCCCAGACTTGACACTTGGTGTCAGAATAGCAGCAGAAATGGAAAATGAGAGAAATTTGAAGATTTCTTTTTGCTTTAAGTGCTTCTGCGAAGAATAAGGGTTATGAGTTAATCTCTAATGTGTTTGGACATAAGCTGATACTCCCATTAAGTAAATGTGTATGTTATACATTACGCTAAAGTAGTATTATGTATGTATAGTACTGCAATTAGTAATATAGGAATACCTTTTTAATACGGGTCTATAATTTGTGTTCAATGCTAAATGTGTTACATAGTCTATTTGTAAAGACCAGGGTAAATCAGCATTTGATTGATGACTTCAGCCATTGCTTAACAGTAATTACTTTAGTCAGGTGATTAAGATACCTTTTAGTTTGCCTGTGATGTAAAGAAGGAAACCTGCTAATTCCATGGCAATACCTTTTATCTGACATTGAATTAAGAGGCAGTCAGAGCTTTTTGGACAGATTTTTGGAAGATGTACATTATTTTTTACCCTACACAAATTAATTTACAAGTCATGGTGCCCAGTAGGTTAGAATATCCCACCTCTAGCCTTAGGTGCAGTTAGGCTTTAGGCACAAATGTATTTAAGATAGTGTTCAAACTGCAGCGTGCTGAGAATAGCCCCAGAGAAGATGACAAGACCCAGATCCTGCTGGACAAATAGGTGCTGAATTCCTGTTAGTTTCAACATAAGTTTGTGAGGGTATAGAAATAAGAGACAAGTCTCTGTGTGAAATTACTAACTTATTTTTCTTCCTCTCAGCAGAATGTGAAATAAGTATAATTTTCTGGTTGGGTATCTTTCTACCATGTGCAAACAGGCTGCCTCAGCTACTCTAGGCCAGGCTTGTAGCTCAGAATTAAAGACTTGTCTGAGTAAGATTGGTCCTTACCAGTCACAAGCTAGCCCTCTATGAATTGGTGAAAAGTTAATAGAAAAGTAAAGGCAGCATAACACAAACTCTAAATTTTTTAGAAAAAGATGTATGTTGTATCAGGAATGACTTTTTGAAACAAGTCTAGCAGAAATGGTGACAATCTTAAGGATGTTTTAAACTGTCCTTGAAGCAATAAAAGGATTAAGGAAAAGTGTTGATCGTAAGTATGTATGTGAGAGAGAGACTGTACCATATCTCCTGGTTAAAATAAAAACCATTAAAATCTACTTTTCAAGAGTTGTTTAGCAGAATAATCTGGATTTTTGACTACTTATGCAAGAATGATGAGTTGGAATCTACCAGGACAAAATGAATATAGCATGTTAAAATCTTGCCTTCAAAGAGAGCTTACTAGAAAGGCCTTCTGTTAAGAGGAGGAATAATCTGGTAGAGGAAACAGCACAGTTAAAAACAGTTCTGCAAAATTATCTCCTCTCTTCTAGCACTTTCCAGATTAATTATGTAACTCCCATGTTAGTAAATAAATTAAGGCCTTGTCACTCTTGAATGTAAAATTGTGTCCTAGGACAAGAAAGCCAGATCTTAAATGATTCCATAATCCATTTACTAACTGGGGTGCCGTCACCCAAGATTAAAGGGAGGAAAGCTGAATTCAAGTAAAGAAAACTTCGGGTAAACGCAGATGTTCTTGGTAGAGATTTATGAAATCATGACCTTGATGAAACCAGCAGAAAAACTCCTGCAGATCTACTTATGGACATTTTACCTATGTGACTGCTAGTAATCAAATTGTCAGTTCAGCTTCACATGGCTTATCATGATTTGTTTAGCAGTGGTGTTTGCACCATTGCATCAGTGGAAGATGGAGATGTTGCAATGCTAAACCTGCTACATAGTCTGTCTGTAAAGACCAGGATAAATCAGCATTTGGCTGATGACTTCAGCCATTATCTAATATTAAATAAAAAATACTTATACTTTTCTGTAGAATAGGGAAATAAAATTATACGAAGAGCATATATGAAGTCGAGTGCAATAGGCCTGCATAGTTATATTGGTTAATGGAAGTCCTAGCTTCAGTGCAGTCAAGCAGATGTCAAAGTCTGAAGACAACAAATTGTCAGCAAAGCTATACTTGGAATACAGTTAATTTAATTATAAAATTTTTACATATGCCTAGTAGATCTTGAAGGTAATGTAATAGCCAAAGCAGATACATCATATTTTGATGTACCATATACTTAGTTTTGTTTGGTATTCTTTTCTTTTTGTTGTTGTTTGTTTTGTCTTTAGAAAACCTGGAACCAAGGCCCAAAGGTGGAACTCTGCCAGATGTTAATATCTCCAGAGGGAGGGGAACACTTCGGCTGAGAACCAAAGGCCCTGCTACTGTGGAGGAAATGGTATGGTTATCTTGGAGCCCTTCAATAGTTTAATCATCTAGCACCTGATTTATTCTTCCCCAAGGTTGATAAGGGGAGGTAGGGAGGAAAAATCTGGATCTTACAAAGCTTATGGGCCTTAAGAAGATTGCCTTCTACAGGGAGAAATACTTATATAAAGTTGAAGACTAGCAGGGAGAGGGTGTATTTAGATGTCATGGATTACATGGATGAATTTAAGGTAGATTAGACCAAGGAATGTTGAAAAGAGGGAAGGGGGAGAGGAAAAGGGGGGGCTGGTTGAAGAGTTGGTTCTGTTTCTGACACTGCAAAGAGTACTGGGCTGGTATAAGGGTCGTTGTTAGGAAAGGCTAATAATGTATGTTGGCATGAATATGTGTAAAACCAGGATTAGGGTTTGAAAGAGGAAATGTTATTTATTTTGGGTTCCTCTAAAGCTGACGAGGACTTGATGAAGATCTGTATTGTCAGGAGATGCAAGGCCCCTGTTTAGTTTCAATGTGAGAGCTGTGTGGCTTGATGCTGGGAGGAAGGCTCAGGTTTGTGAGAAGAGGGAAAGAAAGTGGAATAATGTGTTTTACTTGTACGTTTTGTAAGTCTAGGTGGCTAGGATGGGAGTAAGGATAATCAGTGGCAAACTGATGGTTATTTTGAAATCTGCATGGATATAATCATACTTTTGCTCTTTCTCTCCCTTTATTTCCACGAAGCCAAGTGAAGTTGAAAAAAAAGCAATTGAAAAAGTGGATGAGCTTCTTGAAACATACATGGGGATAAGAGATACTGAATTAGGTGAGTTTTTTTAACAGATACATTACTACAAGATTAAATAATTTCTCATTTTCTGTAGTCTAAAATTTACTGAGTACTTCAGTCTCTGGATGTAAGTGAACAAAATATGTCCAGGATGCAGTCTCAAAAACCTGCCTGTATTTCTCCAAATATGTATGTCTGATAAAAGAATGAATCTCTCACTACAAGCCTTATGATGTAATTAATTAATCCTTGATGTAATTAATTAATCCTCTATACTTCCTGCACATTATCTATACACTATTGCATGAATTATTTAGTTGTTTACCATTAACTGTCATTGCTGTATTCTTTCTGGCATATATTTTCTAGTGGAGCTTGTGTGTACCACATTTAAGGATTATTATGGATAAGCATGTGTATTTGCTTTTTTGCTCTTTCGCCCCTTGGCTTAGACACATCAAAGTTGATCACTAAAGTTTGACTCTGGGATCTTCATCAGTGAAATAGCAAATATTTAGCAAGGGAACTGACAGAGTAATTGCACAAATTTATCAAATTCTCTAAAGCCTGCATTCTGGAGAACATGGGAAGTTTTCCAGAATATTTACTAGCTATCACAATCATCAATTTGTAATGAAAGAAACTATTTGACACCAGTGTCATAAGTTCCTTAAAACTGCGCCAAACTTGTCCTTGCAGCTGTTGCTTCTCTCTGTTAATCTGACAACAACTAAATAGGAGCTTCTCTTTGTACGGGAAGAAGCCGCAGTCTAGCTGAGGAAGAAGTGCTGCTATAGTCAGCTGTGGCTGGGTGTAGTCCTCATCCGATCTTGTGGAACTGCTAATACTGAGACAAAGAGGAAGGTATTTATTGTTATGGTAATGTCTAAAAAAAATCAGCCAAGAATTAGGAAAGGATAAGCTAAATGGAAAGTGATCTTGGGGAAAAAAAAAAAAAGCTTTTATGAGAGAGAAGTGGAAGAGGCAAAGCAGAAGAGAAAATACGTCTGGCATGAAGCTAAGGGCAAAGCAGGAGGGTTGGACAGGCGGCATTTAGCAGAGGAATCAGAACAATAGGAGATTATCTGAATAGCCAAAAGTCCTTTGTTGGCTGCTCCTACTGGCAAGCATCTGATTGGCAGCTTCTACTAGTTTTCACACAGGAAAAATTGTAGGTGAAGTATTATTTGTCCCCCAGCCTAAGGTCAAGGTGGGCTTCCTGGCATAGAAGAGAGAGCAGAGCTGCCCAGAACTTGTGAATTCTGTTTTGTAGGTAACATCTAAACTGTCCAATTCCCAGAAAACTAAAAATTCTCAAAAAATCTGTTCTGAGCAGCTCTAATATGTGATGCCTCTGCCATGTAATATGCTCCTGGGAGCCCTGTGTGGTGCTGACCCTCTGTTTAGGTTAGGGAGGCTCCCATGTCCTGTTGCTCTTCTGCAGCCTCCACCACTTGGTCCATCTCTGGCTTAGGCTTCAAAGCTCCAAGTCTCGTGCCAGCTGTCCCTCTGGGAGCTGTTTTTATCTTGCAGCTGTTGCAGTCCCAGCTCAACCCAGGCTTCTGGAGGCTCCTGTCCTTGCAGGCTACCTCCGAGGTCCCCAGGCTTACAGGAATAAGCAGCTATAGGTGTTCTTGTTTTGGTGTCCATAGCCCAGAATCCTGAGATCCTAAGCTAGAGCATGGTTTCTTGGGATGTTGTGGTGTGCCATGCTCTGCTCTGAGACAGGGGAGCAAGTTCCTGTGGGAACTGGTGTTCCCTGTGGTTTTGGCTCTCAGTGCTGTAACGGGATGGCTTTTGTACAGTAGACTGAGGAGGTCAACTTTCAGCACATATGACTGAGCTGATTGCCAAGCACCTGGTAGAGTTTTCCCAAGAATTCCTTGATTTTTTTTTTTTTTCCCCAAAAGATCTAATGTCCTTCATCTTTCAGTATGCAGTTTTGAAAGTTTCAAAGAATGCCTTAAAAGAGTACTCAAAGAAGGAAGGGGTCTTTGTCCTCAAAGATACTCTCTCATTTCCAACTGGGTAGTTGTTTTGCCCTTCACCTCTTCCTTCTCTTCTTCCCAAAAAGGCAGTGAAACAAAGAGAAACTGTCAGGAATCAAAGACTATAAGGTTCATGTAGCTTTAGTTTGCACCTTTGAAGCCATTTCCTAAAGTTCAAATCTTAGAGTCAAGGGCCAATGGTGGTGACAAAGAAAAAGTTCTATCATTTTTAAACAATTAAACAGCTCTAGGACTCTTTAGGAAAGGAGAGCTAATCACCTGTCACAAATTTGTTCAATTAACATATGTCAGTTTTTCATATACTGGATGTGATCAGTCACCCATGAAAATGAAATATGAGGAAAGGATTCATTCAGAGAATGCCAATCACCACTCAGCTAGAAATTTCACTCATTACTCAAGCCAGATTAGCTGAAAATGCAAGTCATCACAATGCGACAGCCGACAAGTGATTAAGATCTCAATCATTGCTCACTCTCATGCAGTTCTGTTTGTCAGAAGCTTTGGATGTCAGTTAATATTGCTCTTTCATCTCCATTAAAATGACACTTCCATGGTGTGATTGAATTCTAAAACAGTGCCCCAGTTTTAAGCCAGAAGTTAGAAAGAAAGGAAAGAAAAAATAATGTAAAATTACAGACAGAATTAAAGATGAGATAAAGCCCTTAATTTTTGCATAGTTAAGTATCTTGACAGTTTCAAGAATGGCTGGGTAAATCTGCACGCAAATCCCTAAGTTGGAGCAAAATGCTTGGAAAACATTTAATGGAAATGCGTACACTTACTTTTTTTTTTTCAGAGTCTTTTATTTTCAGAGATCTAAATGCTGTTGAGATTTACATATCTGCCTTTTGAATGCACTTTTACCTTTTTACCTCTTTATTTTACTGAAAAATGGACTTAATCTGCGGAAGGGACGCTTGGCTCTGGAAGTGCATTCCTCAGCCATTTTACAGGCACATTAGAAATTGGGCCAAGGCTTGACTTCAGTCTTCTTTAAAACATAAATGCACCATTGAGAGATAATTCAGGTTGTTTTAAATCCTGTCAGTGCTTTCTGGTAAAGGAACGTGAACAGTTGATTAATAGGAGGGACTCAGGAAGCAGTGTTAGTGAAAAATACTGGTGGCATTTATTTTTTAAATCAGTGAGGCTTGAATTGCTATGGACTGTATTTGATCACAAAGATTCCAGGTGGGATGAAGCCTGGATCTATGGGATCCAATCCTAGAATGCTACTGATGGGAAAAATGATGGCAAAAAGGGCTTCCCGTCCAACTTTTTCTTTCAGCGTCCTTTGGGTAGCTCTTCATCCACTGATATTTTCTTCTATTTTGTTCTATTTTTTACGCTCTTGGATAATTCTTTCCTTTTTGTTGTTCCCTATAATATTGTCAGACATGACATATCTTTGCATATTGTCCGTCTGTTTAGAAGAATTTCAAATCTACTTCTCCACTCTTGACTTTATTTTTCAAACTTACCGTCAAAATGTCCTAGCAGATTTAAAATTTTTGTCACCCAAGCTTCTTCTCTTGGCTCACTAATCCAACGCAGCACTATTGGATAGATGTTTTTATCCTGAAATGCTTTGACTAAAGTTATATTCTCCCTGAATTTGTTGTTTTCTGCTCCTTCTGTCACCAGACTTCCTTTCCCAAAGGATTTTATCGTATACACTCTGGGGTATATTGTTTATGACTGTTCATTTATTCTGAGAGAATAATGGGAGTTTTGTGAAAAAAGGAAAGGTAGCAGTCTGGTTAAACAACAAAACTTCTCCACTTCAAGAGGAATTAGTACTTAATAAAAAGAAACAAGAAGAAAGGATATTTCTAATGGTTCCTTGAGAGCCAGATCTGACAATGTTCAACATGAAACTAAAACCAAGCAGTGTTAAATACTGGAAACTGCAGTGACATGCTTCATTTTCTGTCATGTTGTAAGGAAGCTGCATGTGAATTTTAGCTCTTTTAAAGTGTCAGGCCAGAATAATGATATTTGTTACCTTTTGATGAAGGCAAAACTTCTGATAGCATTACAGCTAAATAAATATTGAAGTCTCTTTTAAGACTTCTGAAAAAGTTTTTTTAGAAGTTACAGGATAGGATATAGGTAGCAAAACCACTATGTAAGACAGGTAATAACAATGGCAGGCAGATCATAGCTTTCATGGCTTGTGCCACATGTGTCTATCAAAAGTGAAAATAAGGATTTTGTGAAAGATCTTTAAGGTTATTTTAAAGGGACTAGGTTTAAAAAGCCAACATACTTCTTTGTTCATATTCTGGGAAGCCTGATATTGAGCTTCTCAGCTGAAGTTGAGAAGACTTCTGATTCCTTTCATCACTTTTAAGTTTGTTGAACTTTTCACATTTTATGTAAAAATTTCTCAGGTATGAGCATTGCCTGAAGTGAGATTTAAAAAAAAAAAAAATCTGAAAACAATTGGGGCTATCTGGAGTGTGGAAAAATATTCTATTGGAATAAAATTCCTGTAATCACTTATTGTGCAGCTGTTACAAGAAGCAGTGTGAGAAAGGGAGGGGAGTGGAGGCAATTTGGCACGGAGCTGTCACCCTCTGAGAACCAGTAAAGTTTTCTTCAAGTTGGCAAGTATCTGCTAAATGCCTTGGCAAACAGCAGTTTTTGATTTGCCTTGGGAATTACGCATTGCAAATGTCATTGTGTAAACACGCATGTTCTGCACAGCTGTGCCGAGGGGATGCCATCCCACGGCTGTGTTAACCACCTGGAGAAATAAGAGTATGTGCACTGGGTGATAGAGAAGACTGGTCAACAGGAGGGTTCCTGTAGGTATGAAACTAGCCAGGCAGGGTTCAGCTTTGCACATTCGTATACATCAGTGGTACAACTTGCGTGTGAAAATCAGGAAGGGTGGCTTGCATCTTGCATTAGGGTTTGCTGCACGGTAATAAAAGTCTGCTGGCACTAGAGGTCAGCACCAAGCTGTCGAAAACGTGCGCCCCAGCAGCGACGGTCCCGCAATCTCTCCACAGAAGCTATTTCATTACATCGGGTGAACCTGGGAAGGGGAACGTGCTTTAATCAATATAGGACATTAAATGTACCCCGGTAGTGCTGATTACAGTCGCTCAATAGAGTTGAAAACGTTTTTATTTGAGGCTGCTGCTTTCGCACGGCGGTGACGTTCTGACTCCTGCTTGACGGGGTTGAAAGTTGTCTTGATTATCTAAGTTTAGTGGATTGTGTTTTCAGGTTGGGTGAAACTATAATAATCTATTTTTAAGGTTCTATTTCATAATTTGGGAAGCTCAATCTTTAAAGAAGATTATGTCTGAAGTAACATTTTCTGTAATGACAGTTTATTACTGTGTAATTTTGAGGTTTCAACCAGGGCAGTTGAACTGTAAATATAATGCTGTGTTGTCTTGTTTTATCGCTGCTGTCTGTGTCATATGGCTCTTTCATATGTCTTGACCAATTTGTCTTAAAACTGGCTAAATTCCTTGATCCCACTTTTTCTGCTAGAACACTTGTCTAGATCCTCACTCTGTTGATGGCAACCTTTTTTTAGCATATTTAGTAACTATATCTAGACACGTTTGCTCTTGTATTACCTTGCGCAGCTCTTCTCCGTCCACCTCTCTCCCAGTGTCTATATAGAACTTCATATCCTGGTTCATATCCAGAAATCTGTGAAGTTTAAATTACACCCTTCACCTCATTACCTCCAGGGTTGCTTCTCTGTAAGTACCTTCTTATTCCACAGTGTCAGGGGATGTAGGGTGGCGTTGATAGGACAAATATTTGTCCTCCGCTTGTCAGGATGAGTCCCCTGTTTAATGTCTGTTTCCCATCTAGACTCCTTTGAGTCAGGACTCCAGGAACTTCACAGGGGACACAGAAAGAATAGGGATAGGGTTTCTTCTGGCAGCCAAACTGGTCTTGAGAGTCCCTGAGAACCACTAGTGGTGCCCAGGAAGCTGGGTTACACTTGAACTGTCTCGATCACAACATTTCATTTGCCAAGATTTATGTAAATTTTCCTTGGACTGCTTTGTGTAGTTTGGCACACTGCAATGCAGTTTGAAGCCTCAAGTCTGAACACAGTTAGACCCAAAACGTCAAATTTCTTCAGAATTACTGTTGCTGACGTCCACAATGTGGAATATGGCTCAAGTTTGCTCACAGCTTGTTACAAGTTTGCATAACAGCAAACGGTTTGCCAGAAGTTCATAACTGTCAATAAACTTCAGCTAAGTTCTGGGTCAACAAAATAATATTAAATATATTTAATAAAACTTCAAAGCAAGGGAAATTTCTTTTCTTTTTTATCAGGGAGATTTTGCCATGTTGATAAAACACAGTGCATGCAGTAGCCTGCAGACTGTCCCAGTGAAGATGCTCTTCTGTGGTTTCAGAACCTCCTTCCCTTTCTCAGGCACTGTAATACATGTTTTCCACTTGGATGTCCCTCTGAAAAAAGGCTAGAAGTTATCAAATCCTTCAGTGTGACACTTGAATTTGATATGCTCATGAAGAATTGGTGGTTACTTGATGTATGACAAAAGATGGAGGACATCTTGCAGTTTAAGGCAGGTGTATAAAGTAATCACGAAATGAAGCAGACTTTGACGGTTTCATCTATTGTGCAATACCGTCATTGCTTGTGAATATGAACAGAGGCTGTGGAGCAGAGATACAGCTCAGAAAATAAACTGCATTCAGCAGTACTGTTTGTGCTGAGTCTGTTTTACAGTCTTCTGCATCCTTCAAACCATGATAGCCTGCTGCCAGTAGTTCTCCTGGCCTAGCTTAACCAGGAGAAATTCCTGTGCTGACACTTTTCAGCCTTCAGGGAGGTGCAGGTGCCATGACCGAGAGAGGTTTGAGCCCTCACAGTTTTCATTTGCTCCCTGGGTTGTCAGCATCCAGTGTTGTTTGGGATAGACTTGTAATTTGTTCTAGAACCTGAGAAACTGCACAGTGGCTAAAGGTGAGGGATGCGTACAGCAGCTAAGGACTGAGTCCTAAGCAACAACCCCAGTGTAGCCATTTCCAAACTAAAGTCTAAAACTTGATAAATTCTGATACTTGGGTGTTAAATAAGAGAAAATGCTCTACAGCATGGGTATACAAGATATCACAGTCTACCTCCTGTTGTATCAGATGTCTCTGCTTTAACTTTCCTGGCTACCAAGATGTTCCTAGCCTCTGGTGGCTCCGGTTTATCCCATGCATTTGCACAATTTGAACTACCTGGCTGAGACTTCTGGAAATAACTTTGATCTTTTTCACTTCGTAGTGGCATAAGCACAAACTTTACCAGCCTTGAGGGCACCATGAATTAAAGATCTGCTTTTCAGAGCTGGAGGTAATAATAACTGAAGCAAACTCATACACTGAAGTTAGTTACTTTTTAGTTTGGATGGTATTGGAAAAAACATATATCCAAGCAGAAGAATAATGTGGCTCACAATAAATGCCTCAGTCTCTTTACTACCTGGAGGTGGTTTTTAGGTTTAAAAAATTAATAAAAAAGTAAATAAGTTAATTAAAATGAAATAAAATTAAGCTGAAAAATTAAACAAATCTTTTTGAGGTCATACGGTAGTTTCTTAAGAGCACGGCTTCTTTCAGGCAGTTGCAAACATACTGTGTCCAATACCTAACAAACCAGATTTTATTTTTCTCTGTATTTTACATGACACATTAGTTGAGCCTAGTATTGGAATTCTTGTTTCCTAAATTAGGGTATTCAAGTATTTTCTCTAGCCCCGTTTATCATTACTCCTTTCTAAATGCAGGTCATGCTCAACATTTGAACTCACAGAACATCAGTTGTACTAGCTTGGTTGCGTGTATCTATTATGCAGGCTGTATGTTGTTTTCCATGCTCAAACCCTATACCTTTTGGCTTTCTGTGGAAAAACTTGGCCACTTTAAACTTTGACTTGCTGAGATCTTTTCTTCATTGATAGAGAAGGAAAACATTCAGGTTTGCCTTTTGTTCTTCTGGTTTAGATCAGCAAGCTCATATCAAACTCAGTGAAGTTGGTGATGAACAGGCAATGGGTCCTGTTATCACAGAAGAGTTGTGCCTAACCTTGTTTTTAGACCCATGCTTCATGTGCCTTCAGTAATGAATACAGAATATAATTTAATATGATTAAAATGAAGGTTTGTTGAATTAAAAATTAAACCTCTGCCAAACAAACAGAAGAATATATAACGAGCACTCCAAGGAAGCTCTCCTGTTCATCAGAGCAGAATGTAGCTAGTGTGGGGGGATTTCAGTACATAATTTCTATTGAATCCTAAATTCAGTAGGTAAGCTTTACATCTCCCTAAGATGACCTTACCTGGTTTTGAAAATAGACATTCAAAAACTATCGTGGCCATATATGATAGCTGTCACTTCCATGATAATGACATTATTTTCTTTTCTTTCTTTTTAGCTGCAACAATGGTGGAAACTGGAAGAGACAAGAAAAACCCAGATGAATTTGCAGTGGCATTGGATGAAATTCTTGGAGACTTTGCGTTTCCAGATGAGTTTGTCTTTGATGTATGGGGAGCAATAGGTGATGCTAAGCAAGGACGACTGGAATGAGAACTGTGCCGTTTATCAATTCCTATTTGAAAATACAAAATCATTTTCAATATGTACATCAGAATTTTAAAACCTCTATTGATATGAATCCAGGGTGCTCTGAATAAGTATTCTTATCTGAAACTTTCTTTTGCAAAGGAAGGTTTCTAATGGAGATATGAAGATAAACCTGAAGTTCTGACAACTGCACATTTAAATATTTAATTTACAGGTAGAAATCACTGTGAGGAGTGTGTCAAGGAGATGTATTTATACCGACATTTTATGAAAATTAGGTATTTTTTATTGTACATACACTTGACATCAATATTCTGAAGAGTGTTAGACATATGCAACAAAGAGTTTGGATAATTTTTATCTCTTCTTTAGAAAGGTTTATAAACTTGTTGAAAAACTACCTAGCTACACGCTGCAGTTCCCTGGTCTTCTGTTGACCTTACGTATTCACATATGCAGAGCGCTGTGGAAAACCTAAAGCCTGAGGTTTTCTTACAGTTTGGCCTGGATGTAGTTTTTTCTGTAGACAGAGCTAGGAAAAAGCTACCCTGTTTCTGAAGAACCTGAGTTCAGAAAAAAAAAAAAAATTCTTCTGAAACGTGAGAACTCAGATCTTCAAATGAAAAAGACTTGCTTTCCTTTGAGTCATAATACATGCTGTCTGGGTATTACTGAGATGAGTAAGTATAGTAGAAATGCTTAAACCAGGAAACTGCTGCTTTATTCAGATGCCGTATCATTTTAGTAGGAACTGCATAGGAAGAAACAAATGTTAATTTTTATTATTATTCATATATTTGAATAATATCTGTGATCTGGCACTGGGGACTAGTGTATGACTAAGTGCTTAATTGATCTTTGCATATTCTAAATGATTTGCTGAGTTCCTATGGAGTTCCCCTCTTGTCTAAATGATTTGCTGAGTTCCTATGGAGTTCCCCTCTTGTCTGGTTTTTTTCAACATGGTGATATAGGGGAGACACTGAGGGTGTTCAAACCTGGAAGATACTATTGTGAAGTCACAAACAATCACAGTTTGGATAAAAATGCATGCCTAAACCCTGAAAAATACATTAAACTAATTTTAGATGTTAGGATTTACAATTAAATTGTACATAAACATTTATTTTAACTGATAATATTTTACTAATAAATCTTGGGTTATTAAAAATGAACTGTCTCTTTTAACACATTTGCTATGCCTGCATTTATCCTCCTGTTCACTCTGATTTTAATGAAGTGCAATGCAATAAGTTTTGGTTTTACTCTTAACTAGATTCTTTGTCAGTTTTTACTGTGCTTGGTTTTAATCAACACAGATATTTGCTCATTTGTTCAGAAAAAGCTACTGTCAAGTGATTATTATAGACAAATAACATGTCATCAGTGTCCTTAAAAGTGAAATTGAACAAGAATGTGGGGCCTGACCCAGGAAGGTGTCATAGCTTTTTAGTATTTTTATATTTGCATAAGCATATAAAATAATAGGTATTACAAAAGTTTTTCTAAATCACTACCTAGTTACTTTTCTTCTGAGGAAAATGTCTTTCACTGTCTTGCAGAGATCTCTTTAAAAATAAAGACTATACCAATAACTTTACACGTTCTATGTCAATGATTTTTTTTTTTTTTTTCTAAACCCATGACATTTGACATATCAGTGAGAGAACAGGTCGTCATTCTCTTTACTGTGTTATTTGGGAAGGCTCCTAAACTCCACTTCAGTCTTTTGCACATGTTACAAAATGAATATTTTTTCTAGTTGTGTAATATTGCATGAAGTCTTATAAATACTGTTCAGTGGTCTTTCAACAGGCATACTCTCCAATTTTATAAATGCTGTTGTGAATATTTTGCTCCTGTATCTCTGATTTAGGGACAAGCTTTCACGGAATATAGATATTCCTTTTTATGAAATGAGTAATACAGAGCAGTATGGAGGTCATACATTTCATTGCAATTAAGAAGTTCAAAGGTGTCAAAATTTCTCTTGATTGTACTCCTGCCTCATATCACCAGTGTGGGATGAAATCTGTATGTATCTTCAAACAGATGTGATCATTATCAATTTCTGTATGTAGAAATACATATAGATACAAAAATGTGGGCTATTCTTGAGAAGTAAAAACATATAATTTTACAACAAAATTTGGATATTACTAAAACTTGAAAAGAAAATTAAAGAAACTTTTTAAGGAGGTGGTTAGATTTTATACATCCCATTGCTCAGCTGGGGCCAGGAGGGTGTATTATTTTGAGAAAGGAGTGTAACTTTAGGACAGAGAGCACAAGTTGGATAGCGTTTCTCTGTATTTAATAATTGCAGGTCTCAGCCCACAGTCTTCAGTTGCAGTTCAGCATATTGTCTGTCTTGCACAGGGCTACTTTAACTAATGTACTCTTGGTAATGAAGAGTTAAAGTATTGTGGGCCATATCATTTATTCTTTAAACTTCTTTTAGGTGAAAAGGAAAAATGCAATGTCAAGAATTCCCTGCTGGTTTAAAATTTATTTTATATAAAACTCAAATGTGAAATTTTGTGGAAATGTTTGTGTACAGTAATGTTAGTCACCAACATGCCACTGATTATAAAATCAATTAAAGTCAAGAATTCCTTCTTAAGCAGCAAAAAAAAAGGTACTATATGAGTCATATTATGAAATAATACATGAAATATTACCTATAGCAGATAACCCCTTGTGTGTTTTGGCTGTTCATTTTATTTTGAGAAATTAATGTTGTTCAATCAGTTTATCCTCGGAGGATAATTTGTCTCATTACACTGATAAAATAGCAAGATAAAAATAATCTCTGAAGCTCTAATTCTGGACAGAGCTATCTTTTGTCATAGTGGCCTATCTTTGTGGAGTTTATTTCAGAACTAAGATTTAAATAGTGATTGCATTTGTACTAGCATTTACTGCAATAAAATATGTTGATATATCTTAATATTTTTCTGAGTTCTCATTTATGCATACACCATTTCCAGTGCATAAGACATAATGATGCCACTACCCAGTTTAGCAGATTATTTGCATTTTCCAGCTATGCATGAATAAGTTGTCACGTGAAAATCCCACTGCCTTATAAAGTATGATAAATAATTCTTGCTTTTTGTAATGATTTGTGTAGTAAATTAATGTTTTACTAATGAAATACAGCCTGCAGATCCCTTTAAGACCTAGGCAATAATGACACTAATGACAAAGCCTTTGCATGCTTTGTAGGGTGAAAATGTCATTAAATGTCACTACAAAAATCTCCCAAATTCATTTGAAGTACTAATTCTAGTTAATATAAGTGCTGCTCAGAGTAGGATATAAACATCTTGTTAGCGTGTGTTGCAGGTAGAGGTGAATGTTGGTGAACAGTCCTCTCAAAATCTGAGGTGGAAGGAGGCAAGGTCAGGCTGGATGCTAGTCTAAAAGTAACTGATTCCTTATTCTTCTAATTTGGTGCACAGGTTGCAGGGAGCTGGCAGATATATGCAATTGTTTGTGCCTTTACTTCCAGACTTACTGCTATATTCAAGATGATGGAAAATATACCGCTATTTTTCTCTGTAAGCAATAGTCTTTAGATGCAATGAGGGGATTTAATGAAATCTGGTGTTCATAAAGTTCTGAGCTCATAATCCTAAAAATATGATGAGTGATGAATATTTCAGACTTTTAAAAGAACTAATTTTGCAAATTACAGATATATCTTTTGTGACACCTTTAGTATGCCAGATGTTGCTTTGGTTAAATTTGATTTTATGCAACCCTATTCATAATATAGTTGTTGTAATACAGCTATTCAAATAGCTATTAATATAATCAGTGTATTTGGGAAAATCTCATCTGCTATTCAGATTTGCACCTTGATTTGAATAATGCATATATTCTTATTTCTGTATATGATTTTCTTCACAATTTGTCTATTTCCTTTTCATTTTTTTCAGATAAACATAATGTAAAGCTTTGAAAATCTTGTTCTTTGTATTTGAGAGTGAAATATTAATCTTAAAGTTAAGCTAATTTATAATATTTTGTCAAGAAAAAGCTATCAGGCAAGATGTAAAGCAGGGTATAAAGTTTTTGAAGTGCTGTCTGTGATGACAAAAAAGCAAATTGTAGATTTTTTTTTTCTGCTTTTTAATGTGAACTTCTGCTACTTTTCAAATTGCATATTGTTTTTCATGAAAACAGCTCTGAGAATTTGTATTTGAATGTCTCAATATTGTAGTAAAATGATACATTATTCTTAGTTTTCTTTCTGCCAGGAGATATTTCAGAACAATCAGAAGTCAGGGTGATGACTGTTTGTCCTTTTGAAATCAAATGCGTGTTTGCCATGAACTTCAGAACTCAACTCTAGCAATAAGAGCTTAATCTGAAATTTATATTCAGTATTGTTTTCTTTTCCAATTCTCTGACTCCCTGTGTTTGTAAGGCATTTTGCCTTTAGGTGGTGTTATACTTTGAAAGATCTGTGATTTAGTTTATGAAAATATGAACAAATTTATAGGCTTGGAAGTCAAAGACAGGGAAAATCCTCAGTATTTCTTGAAGATACTTGTAAATAGTAACAGTCTTTGATTTAAAAATATGCATCCTGCAGTACAGACTTTGTCCTCAGAGAAGGTGTATTCAATGTGTAGGATTCAGGGAATGACAACTAAAAAGAAGAAAAAGACTGAGACAGCATAAAGGTGAAGAAAATACCTTTTAAAAATTATTATTATTGAAACACATGCACTGGCTTTAAATAGAAAAATACAAGGTCTGTATATTGGACAGAAGCAACCTCCTGATGTGTTTAGGCTGCCCTATGTCTCAACTCTTGTGCTTGTAAACAGAGAGGTTGTGAACAGCTTTTTCAGTTTTCTTATGTTGGCAGTCGTTACCTAAATCTCTGTTGCTATATCAGAGCTCTTTCAGAAAAATGTAGCTGTTGGTTTTGTAGCTGAATCATTAGTCTGTGGGGTTCTCTCAGTTCACTGAGAACTAATGCAGATTTT